TTGTTGAAATTCAGCCAGTGAAGTAGTCTTGCTATCCATCCAATAGTACATTGTTCAAATTTAACCAGTGGAGTAGTCTTGCAAATCATCTAATAGAACATTGTTGAAATTCAACCAGTGAAGTAGCCTTGCAGTCCTTTTGCAGACCAGATGATATAAGGTTTCGAATTGTTACAGCTGATTTGATGAACAAAAACCTTTGAAATTTCTACAAATAAACGTCATAACTTTGAAAACAAAAACGTTCAGATATCTTTCGTTTTCTGCACAGATTCGAGTCATGGGAAGCTTTTCTTTCCGACACATTAAGGCTGTTAAGTGTTTGTAAACATCATTAATTGTGTTGTTATTACAATATATACTCGTTTAAAGGTAGAACAAGCGCCTGGTACTTCAGTCACGTAGAAGAGTGAACAAATAGCACGTCTAGTGTGACGTTTCAAAGTACCGTTGTTCACACATTATAACGGTAATCGTTCCGTCCACCTGGTATAATTATCTCAACCTTGTGCTGCATTATGAAACATTTTTTAATGTTTCAATTGCATTTTTCGGTTAATTGACTTTAGGGATCGTCTTCAGGTATCATCGAAAATAGTCACGACATTAAACAATGTTATTAATATCACAAATATCCGTAATAATTCGAATAGAATTTTAATGATATAGACGATAATATCAATAAAAGTATTTTGTTCTATGATAATGCTTCTCCTGTAGCTCAACCGTAAGGTCGAGGGGTTTAATATTTTGTGTTGATTATGTTATGTTACTTTTTATGTATATAAAAATACATACATCGATAAGCTAAGTGTTAAGTACTATGTCTTCAATGACACACTGTTAACAATCGTTTTATAACTTACAGTAAACACGAACGTCGACATTATTTTATGCTGATCTGGTATTGTTGATGTAACCAAGAGAAACAACAATCTACTGAAATTCGGTATCTAGGCAACAGATAAAACATCCAGATTCCACGTTTTAACAATACAGTGCTCCATATAGGGACCAGTTCTCGACTTTCTTATTTGTTACACAATAGTTTAACAAGAAGAAACAAATCCATACAGCATCGTAAGCCTACTTTCAGTCTTTCAGAGAAATTGAGGGGGGAAGGGAACACCCCTTAATTATTGTACGTCTATCGCTAGATATATGGGGTGCTAAAGGAGAGAGAGGCTATTGGATTTTTATAAATCAAATGTCAATCTTTCAAACATCTAATTCTTGAAAGTCTGTCGTCAGATTTCCAACTGTCATAATGTTACAATCCTTATACGTCTTTGTAAATTTAGCGTTAGTTTTTCCAAATTGTTGAAAGGGACTGCTGAAAGCTGAGAACAGAGTATAATCTTATCACTGAAGCATCTTGTTGTGTAACAGGAAACCTAGAGGAAAATGTAGCTCGATAAAGCCATCTTATGTGTCATTCCTGGTAGACAAAACTACAGAATACATAGCCATCTCATGATCCTTGGTAGACAAAACTACAGAATACATAGCTATCTCATGATCCTTGGTAAACAAAACTACAGAATACATAGCCATCTTATATGTCATCCTTGGTAGTCAAAATTACAGGATACATAGCCATCTTATGTGTCATCCTTGGTAGACAAAACTACAGAATACATAGCCATTTTATATGTCATCCTTGGTAGTCAAAATTACAGGATACATAGCCATCTTATGTGTCATCCTTGGTAGACAAAATTACAGGATAAATAGCCATCTTCTGTGTCATCCTTGGTAGACAAAAATACAGGATACATAGCCACCTTTTGTGTCATCCTTGGCAGACAAAATTACAGGATACATAGCCATTTTATGTGTCATCCTTGGTAGACAAAATTACAGGATACATAGCCATCTTATGTGTCATCCTTGGTAGACAAAACTACAGGACACATAGCCATCTTATGGGTCATCCTTGGTAGACAAAATTACAGGATACATAGCCATCTTATGTGTCATCCTTGGTAGACAAAACTACAGAATACATAGCCATCTTATGTGTCATCTTTGGTAGACAAAACTACAGGATACATGACTTAAACACTCAAAAATTATCTTATTATATAATTACTAAGATACTATTTAATAAGATACTGTTTATCTCAACATTCACAGATGTTTTGCTGCTCAGAAGAGTGGATAATAAATTAATAAAAGATTATTTAAAAATACGCAAAAATAACTAGTTTCTACTAGTTTCCAAGTAATTTTCGCTTACCTGGTTACCAGGGAGAGAGCTTCCCACAAGCAGCTTGTTGCCATGGGTATATATGTTTATACGAACTATCCTTTATATGTGTGTTTCAGACACTGCATGAAAACATCCGACGACTTCAATCCGATATTGCTCCGTTTCACTGACAGAGGGCTAGAAGCCGAGTACCATAGCCAGCCAAACCCCCAGTTTTTCTGGTACACTCTGTGTGCTAGTGTACTGTTTGTTTCAATCGCTTTCATCCACTTGCTTACGTTACCTATGTAAGTCTTCTTTACCGTACTTATTGTATGATATTACTTTTGTTGATATGTTTCCATACAAGATATAATAATGCTTTTAAATCCTCAGACTTAACGTTTTTTAGTTCTCCTTTCTTCAGTTTTAAAAAAGAAAAGAATTTTTTAAAGGCATCTGAAAACCCCAGAACATATTTAGTAGTCGGGTTACTAGACCCTGAAACTAAAGAAAGCATAAAAATGAATCCCAGTTAGGGTTTTCTTCGTGTTTTTTTTTTTCGCTGAAACATGTCCTACAATGTGTTCTTTTCAAGATCCTGACAGTTGGCTTAGTAGAGCCATTTCTTTCTGCGCTAAAATAAATCTCTCATACTAGCGAGATGTAAAAAATTAAACTGTCATCAAAAGGAAGACGTATGTTTGGTCAATTGAGGAGTCTTCTGAAAGGTCCGATCAGAAAGGCTAGACCAATCACCAAAAAAATCACATATTCAAAAATATCTAACAGGGAGTCAACCACCACCTTTAAAACTTACAATCTGAATATTTAACCTTTGATTTCAGCGTGAACTGTTTTATTTGTGGTGATACATGTTTGCCTAAAGACACCCTAAAAATCCAAACATATAAAAACATGTTGTTGTTGTTGTTTTGATTTTAAGTACACGTCTGCCCAGGTAAAGCAGCTTACACCAAATATCTAATATGACCTTTCATCAATATTCCGGGTCGGCATAGCCAGGTGGTTAGGGAGCTCGACTCCCAATCTGAGGGTCGCGGGTTCGAATTCCCGTCCCACCAAACATGCTCGCCTTTCGGCCGTGGAGGCGTTATAATGTGACGGTTAATCCCACTATTCATTGGTAAAAAGAGTAGCCCAAGAGTTGGCGGTGGGTGGTGATGACTAGCTGCCTTCCCTCTAGTCTTTACACTGCTAAATTAGAGATGGCTAGCGCAGATAGCCCTCGTGTAGCTTTGCGCGAAATTCAAAAACAAACAAACAAGCATCAATATTTCAAGAGATGCCTTGCTGGCAGCCTTTTCCTTTTTCGTTCTATTTTAATTTGTTGCTGCCAACCTTCCATATAAGAAGCGTTCTTTTTCAAATCTTCGCTTTAAATATTGTCCTGCTCGCTTTCTATTCAGTGCTTTTGACTCCAGTTTAACGTGCCGATAGACATTCCATTGTAACTGCCTTCTGGTGCGTCAAGTAATTAATGCAACGTGGAACTCGTATTTAGACCAATCACACACCTTTCTTACAGTCGGGAGAGTTTTACATTTAATTCCTTTTAAATTCAGAATTTTTCCCCAGCTTGACATTTTAGAAAACACATCTGCTGACCAGGACAAACAAAGGTCATAAATATATATATATTTTCTCTATGGCCAATATTCGACTTATATACACATATATATATTTCATATTAGAACAACCATCTGAAAAACATTGCTGTCTTAGTTTAATTCGTGGTTTTCTTTCCCGGTTCTTATGGTTTCGTAGATAAATCACTGCTGAATTATTTTCTTGTTATTTGCGTCTAGAAATCTTACAACGGTGACCGTACTGACCTCAACGTTCGTAGTTGTAGCAGCTTTAGCTGTGGTATCTTGTGTTCAACATCATCAGGTTAGTTTTATTAATGTTGTAGCACCTTTCACTGTTACACTGTCTGGTTAATGTTCTAACAACTGTCATATCTTCTGAATACCATTACCAGGTGAGCATTAAACTCTTTCCATAAAGTAGTTATAAAGACTGTGCGTCTGAATCTACAAAAAAGTTTAGTTGTAAGTCTGTATTTTTCGTTGTCGTCTCAGAAATTCAAAATTATAATTTGTTTTTGCTGAAAACTAAAGCTAGAGCGTTCTTTAGTTTCTATACAGTTTCTGTTTATTCAACAATAGATTAACGTATTTCAACAAAGAAACGTTTTCGTTACGTTTGAAACGTGGGAAATCCAGTGTTAATCATAAAAATATTGTTGTTGTTTTTTTACAGCATTCAAGTCAGTCAACCACTAGGTCTCTTCCCTGCTCAACAGATGTCGCTAAAAATCAAATATTAAGAATATTCATCTTTCTTTTTTCCGTTCTCATTATAATGGCAGCTTGTGTAGTGAGTATGGTAAGTGATATTTATATATAATGTCAGTACAAACAATCACTTCATTGTTTATAATAGTTATAATGTCAGTACAAACAATCACTTCATTGTTTATAATAGTCATAATGTCTGTACAAACAATCACGTTATTGTTTATAATAGCTATAATGTCAGTACAAATAATCACTTTCATTGTTTATAATAGTTATAATGTCAGTACAAACAATCACT